AAATAGCCATAAAATACAAAAAGTACAGATTTTTTTAGAGACGGACACATTAATTTCACATCACACATACGAATAAAAACATAAAGAAGAATTTCACACGAAAGAATTTTAATATTTTATACAGGAATAAATGCTTTTATACAATATACCACCTTAAAAGGACGATTTTATTACAGCTATATAGGCAATTTATGACTCTTCTAAAGCTTTCTCACCTGTACTTCAGGTAACCGAACTTCATTTAGGTGTTACAGATGAAGTTGAGATAAGAAATAAACAATAATTCCATTTATAAAAACTTGATGGAGGAATACAAAATGGTATAAAAAAAAAGGGCGCTTTCATTTATCACACTAGGATTGTTTCTCGCGCATGATAGGAATTGATTTTGCACATTGAACATCCGAAGATATTTTTATGCCTTGGGGGATGTTAGTAAACCCCCATTTACCAAACCCCTCAGGCATATATTTATAGCACAAGACAATGGTTACATTGGTAGAAAGGGTATAGACAATCTCTTTTCTGTCTTCCTCTAATGTCTCTTCGAACATGTTTTATGTATGCAGTGATTTCTTAGTCCGGGCTATACATCTCTCGTGTCAATTGTTTCTCCATCGTTTCTAGCCATAGCTTGTTGTTGGATTGAAGAAAAATTCTCTTTGGCAGGTTGTTGAAAATTTTATGGACACTTCCCCCCTTTACTCCCATCGTTTTGTGGATAGTTTGAATTTCACATTTCTACTATTCGCTGTCTACCTGAACGATGCGAGGGATATTGTGAAATATGCAAAATGCATATTCTATATCACTCGGGTATAGAAAATTGCCGTCGTTTCTCGTTTGTAAGCTACTGAAAAATGATATTGTTAAAAGAAAAAATAATAATAATAATGTATATATATTGGAGTAAGTTGGAAAATGATGAATGATTATCCTTTATGAACATCTAAATATGAAAGATGTAAAGGAATATTGTCCTTTCTGGATGCTGTAAAGTGCTTTTATGTAGCTGATTTCCTTTCTAAAATATAAATAAATTGCTTTATTTTTTAAAAACGGACTTATTTTACTTCATTTTTTTAATGTTTTGAAATTTATTTATCTTTTTTAGGTATTTAAACAGTACTCTTACTGATGAAATACAGTTTTAACAAATTAAAGATGACTTCGATTCCATATTGTTGTATTTTGTAGAAACAATACATTATATAGTTTTTTAGAATGGTATTCATAGCATTTTTATAATACTTAAACCTGTGTAAACCGGAATCGCACGGTACCTAATACTTTTCCGTTTTGAACAGGTTTTTTTAAATGTAGAAAATCGCTCCATTTCGAAGAATTTTTCCCCGTTTAGGCAGGTTTCCGTTTTATTCAGGTTCCGTTTTAGACAGGTTTTTGGACGTTTTTGGACTCGGAGGACCTCAGAACGTCCAGAAGTGCAAAAAATTTAAGAGTTTTTTCCCCCCTATATGTATGGATATTTGTGTATGGAGGAACGATTTTGTTCACCCAATTTGAAGCTTAATAACTCATGTGCCTTTTGTCGAAATTTTCTGAAATTTTGCAGAGAGGTTTGAGTGTTAGGATGAAATGTTTCTAGAGAATTTCAGGAAAATCGTACTGTTGGTTCGTGAGATATGGCTTCACCTCTTAATATCTCTCGAACTAATGGCAGCAATTATTAGGGGTTAAACAAGTAAAAAATGCAGGGGAAGTTCAGCTACAACTTTTTTTGTTATAAGCTTTTACGTGATACTGAATGTAATAATTGATTATCACACATCGATTTTTATGTAATATGGAGTTAATTGTAGCAGTATCGAACTGTGTAGTTGTACCATACAGCACACGACATTTAAATATAGTATGCATGATACTTATGTACCATGTATAAAGCGCAATTAAATACTTAAAATATTACGTATAATGCGCAACTAAATACTTATTTTGTTGCGCATTATACGTGATATTTAACTATTTGTACTTTACGCATTATACTAACTACCAAGTTTAACTTTATACACAATGCTGCCATACATTCTGCTTTATTCATGATACTGAATTAATTAGTTGCGCTTTACGCACGACACCGAACTATTCGGGTGCACATTATATAAGCTACCGAATTTACGTTTTAATTCTATCGAATTTATCTATTCATATGTCTACTGTTGAAGAGTTTCGACACCGAATTAACCTTATAAATATAACATTAAAGTATTTTTAAGCTTTCCAAAACGATTATGGGACCAACTTTTGCATGATACTAAGCTGTTATGTCACGATACTCCACTATATCAGCTATACAATTCAGTAAATATCGTATATTGAAGTATGTTATTGAAGTAATACTTTAAAGAGCACAACTCATGAATGATGTAGAAAAAAACAAAAGCTCAAGTCAAGCTAAATATATATATATATATATATATATATTGAGATTTAGCAATTTTCATAATGGTAGAAACTCGTACCAAGTTGGAAATTTTTGGAACGTTTTTATGTATCATCCATCAACTTTTCTCTACCAATTTGTCATCCTATTTATTAAAGTCAAAGATCTTTTTATATTTTCTTTTAATCTTTTGCCTTCTAACTGTCAGTTTTTATCAAGATCACGGTAGAATTCCTCGTATAAAATCACTTAGAAGTAGTATTTTTCAAGTAAGAATGCAGTAAAATAAGGAAAAGGAAGAGGAGGATCAGGATGAAGACGAAAGTTACCAACACACAGTGTTAAGATAAATAGAAATTTTTTCCTGTATTTTTAAGTAAAATACAAATACAGAATATATTTTTGTGCATTTTAAAGTAAATTTCTATTTATCTCAACACTGTGCTGATACTTTTCATCTTCATCCTGATCCTCCTCTTTCTTCTCCCACTCTTATTATCACTGGAAAATACTATTTTAAAGTAATTTTACTTAAAAATAATAAAATAAAAACCGTTTTAAAAAATTAAAAGGGGTAGAAACTAGGAGGGGCAAGATGAAAATGAAGATAAAAAGCATCAATACAACGTTTAGGAAACAGAAATAAATAAATAATTGATTAATATATTTTACATTAAATTGTAATTTTAAAATGGAATAAGAGAAAATGATGAAGATGAAGAGCATAAATTTCGTCTTCATCCTTTTTCCTCCGACATTGCAGAAAAATAAATTAAATCTTCACACATTTTATTTAAAACTATTCAAAGTAGCAAGCTTTTAATTAAGATAAGAGAAAAAGAAAGAGGATGAGGAGGAGGATGATCAGGATAAAGACTATCGATCGTAAAAGATCTTTAAGTGCGCCTCAAAAGTGAAAGTGAAGAGTATAATGAGCAGAAATAGGAAAAAATGAAACTATTTAATATACAGTTAAACTTCTAAATAACGGCCAACGATTGGGGACATAAAAAACAATGGTCGTTGTAGGAAGTGTCCGTAATTTGGAGGTTGTTTAGAGCGCATTTTCGTTCCTGAAAAAAATAGTAGTTGCTGGGAGGTGGCCGTCATTGAAGGTTGGACTGTATTTTATTTTAAAATATTGAAATTAACAATCCTACTTTTCTTGATGATGCAGGATGAGGAAGAGCACCAAGAAAGTGTTTAGAAATGGAGAAAATAAAATAAAATTTTTCGGTTATGTTACTAATTATACTTGCACTTATTAGTAAAATTTAATTAATAATGTATTAACAAGTAAATTAAATTTACAAACAATTTTAATTTTATTATCTATAGTTAATATAATTTTGAAGAGTTTCTCTTTGTAACAAGATTTTTTCGCTTCTTCTTTTCCACCGAAAGTTGTGAAAAAAAGAAACGAGAGAGACTTAATTGAGAAACTTTCTTCTCTTCCTCCATTTTTTTCCTCTCCTTCTCCTCCTCTTCCTCCTCCTCTTGTCTCTTTCTTATCCCTTTCTATAGATTTTTGTGCATGATGATGCACGGTTTGTTAAGCTTAGAAAAATGTGGTACCCAATCGAAAATTTCATTTACAAAAGTAGTAAAACATCTCACATGATGGGGACAGCATAGGATCAACATCAGTCTGAATCAGGAAATGGATGCCATGGGATCTTGGTAATGCTCTTCCGCATCTTTACTACTACGCTACCGGATATTCTATTAATAATTCACTTGGAAATTTATGAAACTATCAGATACTTTTACATCTTTCATTTCGGGATCGGGTTTTAATCTTTTAAATCCTATAAAGAAATCTCGTCTTTTAGGTATTTTTAATAATATAACATCAAACAGGATTTGGGTGCAATCGAAGGGAGGTTAGCAATCTTGATCCATTTCTTTGTAAAATGTGCAAAAATTTAATCCCTCCTTCAATCTTAAATAAATAAAATTTGATATTTTATATTTATTACTTCGTCTCTTCAAATTTTATGCCCGTTCTTTAACGTTTACTCACTCTTAAACGTTATCTAGAAGCTTTTATTCAGTCTTCAATGCAACTCATTTGCATCTGGTTGTGTAAAGAAATGAATTAAAGCTCGTTGCTTCGCATCTTTCTCGTGTTTTCTAACCTAACGAAATGGATAAACAGAAACAGCTGAATAGGATTTCTATAGAACTTTAGAAAGATTTCCATAATTAAATAAATGATATACGTTCTAAACCTTGTATACTGAGATTTTCTACAAGAATGCTGTNAAAAAAATCGTGTAAAAAATTAGAAAATCCAGGAGGATCAAGATTAAGATGAAGATGAAGGGCATCAATTTAAGAAATGGAAAAAAAAATTATTTATATAAAAATATGTTTAAAAAACCTTAACATTTATTTAATTTTGTGAATTTTAATTCGAAAAATAGCGAAAAAATTAGAATAAAAAATAAATTTAAAACCTATTCTGTTACTGGTCAGCAACTGAATATTTTTTTTCCTGCAGAAAATCAGCGACTAAAACAAAAAATTTATTTTTAAATCCATAAACAAACTTTTTAAATGCTGCAAAATAATTAATTCATTTTTTTTTCTATTTTAGGAACGGTTGGACTTCGTCTCATGAGACTTGAAGTACCTTCAGCAGCGATTAGAGGCGAACCTGTATGGTTAAACTGTACATTCGACTTAGAATCAGACGAGTTGTATTCAGTAAAATGGTACAAAAACAACGTAGAATTCTACAGATTTTTACCGACAGACCAACCACCTGGCCAAAAATACGATCTGATGGGAGTTTACGTAGACGTAAGTTAAAATGGAATCCATTATTCTGTATCCTAGTGCAACATATATCCAGCTTACAGTAGAGCAACATATAGCATGTGGCAGGGATAATCTGTATCGCGGATACAAATGGCGCAAGTGATATTGCTAGAAAAATTACCGTTCAACGTGGTGAAAATAATACTTATAATGGAGTTGGTAGTGATTAATCAACAATATATATCTCACATTTGCTCTTTGTCAACAATTGATCTCCCTGTTGACAATTACAGATGTCCAGTTGAGAACATATTAATAACAGAGCTTACGTGGCTTATGGCCTCATCCTTCATATTGTTTTCTTTTTGCTCTTGACTGTTTATATACTTTACTAAATTTCTGACATATTTTACTTAGATTTAACATCATTTTACTATGCTTTAAGTTTCAAAATACTGTACATTCCTACGAAGTTTCTGGTATCTTAGTCTTTCTTAAACTTCTGGCGCATTTTTAATTCGATTTTAATTAATTTCTAACGACTTTATGTCATTTTAGCGTGTTTTATTAAAATTTTATTCAATTCTTGAACTTTTTCTTAGTTTTTTTGGCTTACTTCAATTAAATTCTGCGTAATTTTAGAAATCTTTTACTTATTTCCACGTAAATTTTAGAATTTTAACTTAGTCACGTGTGATTTTAACTTTAATTTAGAACCTATGTAATTTTTGCCACTTTTTACTTGATTTATACATAATTTTCAACGTTTTCCATAATTTTTATCATCTTTTCCTCGATTCCACGTAATTTCTAGAGTAATTTTATTTACACTTCACATAATCAGAACAATTCATAGGACATAAGTCAATACAAAACCACACTTAATTAGTTTACAGGATATTATGAAGATATTATTAAATAAATTAAAATTTTCTAACTTAATAACAAATTATATAGAACTAAATTAATCAAGAAAAAAGGATTTTAGCTTATTTTTTGTGCATTTAATTGTATTAATGCACAGGGTACTTTTTTATTTCTTATTTCTTAACTACACCCACCTAATGTGCCAAAATAAATGATCAATCTGGGATACCAAGAATGTAAAGTTATAAATGATGTTCTTAATTAAGTCTCTGATGAGACTAATGACTTGATCTGTCAAGCTGAAGATTACGTCAAGAAGCATAAAGTAATGTTCTTAAGCGTACGACCCGAATTCACGCGTTTAATTACCATCTTCTGATGGGGACGAAGCATAAAAAAAATAATTCTCTAGCGATAATTTGGAGATTAGGAACACCTAAACACGGGTTTTAAAATATTTTAACCAGTTTTTATCTGTTTAAAACATGTTTATTCGAGAATTTAAGGTAGTTTAAACGCCATTAAACACGTTAAAAAGATGCAGTTTTAGTGCTTGAATATGCAAAAGTATGCCTCTAAATCCGTGAAAAACACTTAAAATTTCCGATTTTAGACGTATTTTATACTCTAAATTCTTAATTATGTAGAAATTAATTATTTTTCCTTGTTTAAAATGTTTTTTTTACATATGTAAACGCCTTTAAACACGCTAAAAAGAACATATTTTGGCATGTTTAGATGTTGTTTTAACACCTAATCGCAATAAATATGTTGAAAATTCGTTATTAAATCTCTTAGAAGGCCTCAAAATTCTTGATTTTCGGCATACTTATTCTTTAAACTCCTTAATTATTTAGAAATTAGTGATTCTAAAGGATACTTCTACGCAGAAAACAACCACGTAAACTCGAAAAAATATTTTAATTACTCATCATTAGACTGATTAATTAATAGGCAAACTCCTTTATAGAAGTATATACAAATCATTAGAGAATTTTACTAATAAATATGACGTGTAATAATAATTAATTATATTCAAAATATGGTTGTATATAACATTAATAAGAGAGGTTAGAAGAGAAGAGAAGAGAGAGAGAGAGAGGCGATTGTATTAATAACAAACGGGAGCGAGTAGGGGGGACGGAGTTGAGAGTTGAGAGAAAGGATTGACGATTGTGATTTGTCGGCTTAGAATAAACGATTCTGTTGTTTGTCAGATAGGCAAAGCTGAGTCAAGATTCATTACAACAGCAAATTGTTCAGGAGTTAATTAACGAAGAGACAGTAAAGGAACTCCTTATTGTGTAATTAGGCGAAAGATTTAACGTTAGCTGACTGAACATTTGAGCAAATTTACAACCAGAACTTGAGAAGTGGAGTAGAAAATTACACTATTTACATCCAGTTTACTCTATGAGAATGTCTATATTTTCCATTTGGATATTTTGATTTCAATACTCTGTTAACTATCTTCACTACACTAATGTAATCATTATGTAAAGTAACTAATTGAATTGTAGTCCATTCCCTCCCTACTTTAAACGTGAAATTACTTAATATGCTTTATAAAAATAACCAAAATTATTAATTATTTATGCAGTTAACACTTTAGAAATTCATTTAAACTAAAAACCTGTCCGAAACGGTACCTGCCAAAGTGTAAAAACTCTTCGAAACAGAGAGATTTTCTGTTAGAAAGAAACCCGTTTAAGACGGAAATCTGCCGAAACGGTGCGATTCCGGTTTACACAGGTTTTATTGTATTTTATATGAAGATTATATAAAAATTCCATTTTTTTTCTGTCAAAAATTTAGATAAAAAATGGCAGATTTTTTAATGCAAGTAGATGGAATTTTTGTGTAATTTTGATACAAAATAATTGATTTTTACAATAAATTTTGTAGAAATTAAGTTTCTTGTAAAATTTTTAGCTATTCGCCAGCAATCTTTGAAGAATTAATTGAGTTTTCAAAAAAAAAAATGCGTAAAAATTACGACACGAAGTAGAATTTCTGCGTGTTTTTGATACAAATAAGCCAAAATTTTAGTTAAATTTTAATAAAAAATATAAAATAAAACTTTATAAACCGGAATTGCACTGTACCGAATAATTTTCTTCCGATTTGACAGGTTTCCGTTTTAAACAGGTTTCTCTTTAACGTAGAAAATCTCTTCATTTCGAAGAATTTTTTTCTGTTTAGACAGGTTTCTGCTTTATCCGAATACAATAAAACCTGTCCGTATTGGACAGGTTTTATTGTATTCGGTATCATGCGATTTTAGTTTATACAGGTTTCGCTGTAATTATATTTAAATGTAAATTTATTTATGTACTGTACGTTTAAATTGCTGAAGGTAAACATTGTGCGTGTAAATTTAATTTTCGAGTGTTTTTTTCTTCTAGAAAAAGTAATTATACAGCTTTAAAAAATGTAGAAAATGTAGAAAAAAAATGTAAAGAAATATTGTTTAAACTTAATTTTTACATCAGTTGTAATTTAATTAGTTCTGTTTTCTTCTATTTTTAAGAAATTTAAACGTTTACTTAATGTCTGGAATTGTCTAGAATATTTGCTTAATTTTAATTTTATTTTTTAAATTAGAACAATTTAATAATGTTTTTTATTTATAAAATACGACACAATAAAACCTGTCTAAAGCGTAACCCGAATAAAGCCGAAACCTGCCTAAAGAGAAAAAAGTTTATTCGAATGGAGTGATTTTTCTACGTTAAAAAAAACCTGTTTGAACGGAAACCTGACAAACCGGAAGAAAATTCTTCTGTACAGTATGATTCCGCTGTACACGGGTTTTACTATATATTTTTTCTTTAAAATTTATTAAGATTCTGGCTTATTTGTATTAAAAACAACAACGCAGGAATTCTTCTTCGTTTCGAAATTTTCATGCATTTTCTTATTGAAAAGTCAATTAATTCTTCAAAAATTGCCGGCGAATAGCTAAAAATTTTACAAGAAACTTAATTTCTACAAAATTTGTTGTAAAAATCGATTATTTTTGTATCAAAATTAGACAAAAATTCCATTTTATAACCTAAAAAAATCCGCCATTTTTATCTAAAAGTTTTAGCATTTTCTTTAATTAAAATGAAAAAGTTTTTGACAGAAGAAAACGGGATTTTTGCATAATTTTGATACAAAAAAACAACAAAACCTGTGTAAACCGGAATCGCACCGTTTTGGACAGGTTTTACTGTATTCGATTTCTAAATGAATTTTATAAGAAATTATATTAATTTCCTTTTTAAAATTCCAGTTTAAATGTGTTCATGATAGTGATAAAGCCTGAAATTTTTTTCAAAATTAATTAAAATTTTGTCTAGAAAAATGAATATTTTTGCAGAAAAAAAATTAATATTTTATCTAATAATTTTGACATTTTCTTAAAATATCAATTCCATTCTTTGATATATATATTTTTTCTTTTTAAAACTGCTGGTGAATATTTAAAAAATTAATAATGTAAAATATCTTTCCAAAATTCCACTTAAAATAATGAAAAATCTTTTAAAATTTTAATAATTTACTAAAATTTTGTCAGAAAATCCAGTATTTTGCATTTAAAAAATAACTGCTAAAAATTCGACTTTATTAACTTAAAAATTGCGATTTTCATCGAAAAATTTTGATACTTTCTTTAAATTTTTCATTAGAAATTATTAAATAAAGAGATTTTAAGAAATCAATATAAACTTTCCTCTTTCTCTCTCTCTCACACTCTCTCCTCCTTTTCCCTCTGATGTATCCCCTCTCTCTCGCATATTTTTCCTTCTCAAATGTCTTTCTCTCTNATTTTTAAATCCATAAACAAACTTTTTAAATGCTGCAAAATAATTAATTCATTTTTTTTTCTATTTTAGGAACGGTTGGACTTCGTCTCATGAGACTTGAAGTACCTTCAGCAGCGATTAGAGGCGAACCTGTATGGTTAAACTGTACATTCGACTTAGAATCAGACGAGTTGTATTCAGTAAAATGGTACAAAAACAACGTAGAATTCTACAGATTTTTACCGACAGACCAACCACCTGGCCAAAAATACGATCTGATGGGAGTTTACGTAGACGTAAGTTAAAATGGAATCCATTATTCTGTATCCTAGTGCAACATATATCCAGCTTACAGTAGAGCAACATATAGCATGTGGCAGGGATAATCTGTATCGCGGATACAAATGGCGCAAGTGATATTGCTAGAAAAATTACCGTTCAACGTGGTGAAAATAATACTTATAATGGAGTTGGTAGTGATTAATCAACAATATATATCTCACATTTGCTCTTTGTCAACAATTGATCTCCCTGTTGACAATTACAGATGTCCAGTTGAGAACATATTAATAACAGAGCTTACGTGGCTTATGGCCTCATCCTTCATATTGTTTTCTTTTTGCTCTTGACTGTTTATATACTTTACTAAATTTCTGACATATTTTACTTAGATTTAACATCATTTTACTATGCTTTAAGTTTCAAAATACTGTACATTCCTACGAAGTTTCTGGTATCTTAGTCTTTCTTAAACTTCTGGCGCATTTTTAATTCGATTTTAATTAATTTCTAACGACTTTATGTCATTTTAGCGTGTTTTATTAAAATTTTATTCAATTCTTGAACTTTTTCTTAGTTTTTTTGGCTTACTTCAATTAAATTCTGCGTAATTTTAGAAATCTTTTACTTATTTCCACGTAAATTTTAGAATTTTAACTTAGTCACGTGTGATTTTAACTTTAATTTAGAACCTATGTAATTTTTGCCACTTTTTACTTGATTTATACATAATTTTCAACGTTTTCCATAATTTTTATCATCTTTTCCTCGATTCCACGTAATTTCTAGAGTAATTTTATTTACACTTCACATAATCAGAACAATTCATAGGACATAAGTCAATACAAAACCACACTTAATTAGTTTACAGGATATTATGAAGATATTATTAAATAAATTAAAATTTTCTAACTTAATAACAAATTATATAGAACTAAATTAATCAAGAAAAAAGGATTTTAGCTTATTTTTTGTGCATTTAATTGTATTAATGCACAGGGTACTTTTTTATTTCTTATTTCTTAACTACACCCACCTAATGTGCCAAAATAAATGATCAATCTGGGATACCAAGAATGTAAAGTTATAAATGATGTTCTTAATTAAGTCTCTGATGAGACTAATGACTTGATCTGTCAAGCTGAAGATTACGTCAAGAAGCATAAAGTAATGTTCTTAAGCGTACGACCCGAATTCACGCGTTTAATTACCATCTTCTGATGGGGACGAAGCATAAAAAAAATAATTCTCTAGCGATAATTTGGAGATTAGGAACACCTAAACACGGGTTTTAAAATATTTTAACCAGTTTTTATCTGTTTAAAACACGTTTATTCGAGAATTTAAGATAGTTTAAACGCCATTAAACACGTTAAAAAGATGCAGCTTTAGCGCTTGAATATGCAAAAGTATGCCTCTAAATCCGTGAAAAACACTTAAAATTTCCGATTTTAGACGTATTTTATACTCTAAATTCTTAATTATGTAGAAATTAATTATTTTTCCTTGTTTAAAATGTTTTTTTACATATGTAAACGCCTTTAAACACGCTAAAAAGAACATATTTTGGCATGTTTAGATGTTGTTTTAACACCTAATCGCAATAAATATGTTGAAAATTCGTTATTAAATCTCTTAGAAGGCCTCAAAATTCTTGATTTTCGGCATACTTATTCTTTAAACTCCTTAATTATTTAGAAATTAGTGATTCTAAAGGATACTTCTACGCAGAAAACAACCACGTAAACTCGAAAAAATATTTTAATTACTCATCATTAGACTGATTAATTAATAGGCAAACTCCTTTATAGAAGTATATACAAATCATTAGAGAATTTTACTAATAAATATGACGTGTAATAATAATTAATTATATTCAAAATATGGTTGTATATAACATTAATAAGAGAGGTTAGAAGAGAAGAGAAGAGAGAGAGAGAGAGGCGATTGCATTAATAACAAACGGGAGCGAGTAGGGGGGACGGAGTTGAGAGTTGAGAGAAAGGATTGACGATTGTGATTTGTCGGCTTAGAATAAACGATTCTGTTGTTTGTCAGATAGGCAAAGCTGAGTCAAGATTCATTACAACAGCAAATTGTTCAGGAGTTAATTAACGAAGAGACAGTAAAGGAACTCCTTATTGTGTAATTAGGCGAAAGATTTAACGTTAGCTGACTGAACATTTGAGCAAATTTACAACCAGAACTTGAGAAGTGGAGTAGAAAATTACACTATTTACATCCAGTTTACTCTATGAGAATGTCTATATTTTCCATTTGGATATTTTGATTTCAATACTCTGTTAACTATCTTCACTACACTAATGTAATCATTATGTAAAGTAACTAATTGAATTGTAGTCCATTCCCTCCCTACTTTAAACGTGAAATTACTTAATATGCTTTATAAAAATAACCAAAATTATTAATTATTTATGCAGTTAACACTTTAGAAATTCATTTAAACTAAAAACCTGTCCGAAACGGTACCTGCCAAAGTGTAAAAACTCTTCGAAACAGAGAGATTTTCTGTTAGAAAGAAACCCGTTTAAGACGGAAATCTGCCGAAACGGTGCGATTCCGGTTTACAC